CCCCCTCGAGGCTGTTTTCCTGTAAAGCCGGTTTCCAGTGCCATAGTAAGAGCTGCTTTGTAGTTGTGGGACTTGCACTTACTGGTGCGAGGTAGCTTAGCTTAGTTCAAACCACCTTTGGTTCTGCTGGTGGTCATGCAAGGGGTCCAGGGAAAGCCCGAGTCCCAGTGCCTCCTTCTCCAGGGAGCCGGCCTCGCTGCCACAGGACCACAGAGTAACGAGCAAACGGGCAGGAAAGGGGGGCCTAGCTGCAAGCTGCGAAGAGGTGAACTCGCCCATGAGAATGAAGGAGGCTGGCACATCTTGATGGTCAGTGGGAATATTTTTACACCTAATAAATAGCAAGGCCATGTTAATGTCGTGTCTAACGTCCTGGATCCAGGGGTATGGCCACCCAGAGCAGGCTGGTATACACGACGTTGGAACTGTGAAAATGGCCCCAAAGTGGAATGAGAAAAAGGCTCAAGAGTCACGTAAGAACATGGTTGGAAAGGGATATGCTTCTCAGAGTTGTAACATGGAACAAGGGAAGTGCCCGCACCAAGCAGGTGGGCGGGGCCTGGCTCTCACTGGCTGGCTGTGTGGCCTTGGACCAGTCGCTCCTCTCTGCACTTCCCTCCCATCTAAAACCAGGGTGCTGACCCTGTCCGGCCACCTCTGTGGCATTGTGGAGTTTCAGATGCTGAGTGGGTAAGGGAAGGGCTTTGTCAAATTTGACAGTGATCTGAAGGGACTTTAGACTTAGGTGACATGGCTTATTGAGTAAAAGAATGAATTCCTTTTATGGTGGTTATACGACACCTCTTCCATTTGGGTCTAGTCTTGGGGCTAATTGGGGCAAGTACCAGCTACTAAGAGCTGAGGGAGGGCTCTCAAGTCCCCACTCCCATATGTAGGACAGATGACGGAAGGCAGGTGGGTTCTTCAGGAACAGAAAGATTGGGCCCTCCACCCCCTTCCTGTGACTCCTAGTGAAACAAGAAGGGAATGTTCACGGCAAGTGGAATTCAAAGGGAAATCCATATCCCTGCAGTGAGCTTGGAAGGTCTGTCATTGGTTCCCAGTCAGCACTGTCTGCTTCATGGCACTGTCCTCAGGGCCGAAGGCAGCCAAGACGGCAGACCCTCGGAATCACGGGGAGCTGACCCAAGAGCACCCCCTGCGGGTCTGCTGAGACCACCTAACCCAGAGCAATTTCATGACCTCTGGGGACAACGGAGCCAACCTTGCCTTTGGGCACGGAGCCAGGGCAGACAACTGCAGCGGTCCTCTGCAGCATCATTTTGCTCGACGCTGCTTTGCCGGAACATTGACTGGATGCACAGACCTGAATTCTTGTTTATATCATTAGCCTATGGTTTTGTTATATGTTGTTTCTCCCAAAGTCACAGAACCTATCAACAACATGGAGCACTCACTATATAAGGGGAAGGAAATAAAAATACGTGTATTTTCTAAGTAAGAAATTTATTTGATTAAATGACAATATATGAAGATATTTTAAACTCTAAGGCTCTATTCAGGCAACATTGTAGATTTATTGTAAAGTGAATGTTATCGATGTAAATGGCAGCTAAAAGAATGCATTTCCTATAATGATTGTATGAAGCATTCATAAAATCCTCGTGTACTTTAAAACTAGATTGCAAGTATAACAGAAGAACCTAAATAGTCCTTCAAAGCAGGTGTCTTAAGTGACTCTGCCAATGTGTCGTTCTACACAGGCATTTGGGGGCCTGACAATCAAAGCATGGCTACCCCCAAGGCAAAATGTGTCGTCTCTGGGCAGACCCCGTGTACAGCCTCAAGGTACACAGTATCCTGTCCTTTCAAATCCTTGGACTTTTGAACTGAGTAGGTGGGAATTGATAGTCACTCTAGTTTAGGACAATCAGAAAAAGAGTTTGGCAAACCAGGGTTGGAAACAGGGAAGGGAGAGGAAACTGAGGCACAGCAGGGTCAGAGGTTTCTACAGAGCAGCTTTAGAAATGATGAAGAAGAAAATCAATAACAGTGACTCCTTGCGGCTGCACCCTGGGGTCTGCAGGGAGGAGGGAGCAGGACCAAAGGTCGGAACTGACCTGCATGTCCAAAACACACTCGCATGACAATCCTTACTGGAGGCTGGAGCCATTACCAGGTAGACTGTGCAGACTGTGTCGGTTATATGCACTTTCCCCCGAACATTTTTCCAGCATCCAAGTGACTCTGTTTTGGAGCCAAGAGAGAACCTGGCACGCCCTGCAGCTGTGAGTTATAAAACCAGAAGAGCGTCAGACAAGTGGATGGAGAACTGCAGGCGGAAGGTGACGTCCCCTCGTGTGCACTCTGCTGGCAGCAAAGCGCGGACGTGTCCAGTGATGCAGGGGAGGGTTGGAAAGATCCCAGAAAGCAAAGGAGGGTAACTACAAAGGACTCATATAGCACCCATTATAACTGAAGATATATAAACATCATTGAGGATCTGTCTAGTGTCTATGCTATTAATTTATAAATATAAATATTCATGAGGGCTTACAAGATATTATAAATGACACATACATTCTGGTATAAATGTTACACTCCAGGATTCCTACAACAGACGAGGTTACATTTAAACGTAGAGTTGGGTTACATACAGAATTATTTTTGCAGACCATTTTTTGAACCTTGGTCACACAGCTAAGTGACTACCAAAAACACAGGCATCTCATCGGTGGCTTTGGCAGCAAACATCATTTTTTGTCTGTGTATTTATGCCTTATACAAAGATACACTTGTTCATTTGAATGAAGGAACTGGAAGTCATCCAGAGGAGATCTTACACTCAGGGCTCTTTTCTGTTTTCTTATCTGCTTCTCGGCTCTCCTGTGTGGGAGGGCTCCTTCTGGGAGGCTCATTGTCTTCCTTAGAGAGCTGTATTTAACAACAGCTTCAGGTTTCCCATTCAGGCTAAGTGGCTCTTTAAGTTTCCTAATCTCGAGATCACCATCTTCTCATCAATGTCGCTGATGCCTGTGCGTGCACCACACACGCATTTTAGCAACAGTCAATGACTCTGTACCGCCTCACTTTAGCAGTGTGCTTTTAAAAATCATTGTTCCCAGCACTACAGAGAATACCTCCAAACACATCCAGGTTGATCATTAGAGACGACCCTTTGCTGTCTGAGGTGACAACAAGAGACCAACCCGAAGAGGCGTCAGGGCGAGGAAACCCCGAAGTTCTGTACGCCCATAGAGCATGAAACGTGGCGTCAGCAGAATCTAAATGTACTTGCTAGTTAGGAAGGATGTACTAGCTAATGACTCTCCAGACGGACTCTAATTATGCATGTGTAGACTAAATGGTGTGTGTGACCTTACCCTGTATGAAAGGGAAGCAGAATTAACACCATCCCTTTGTAGTTAAACACGGAAACTCCGGCACAGAAAGAGACAGTCCTGCCCACTGTATCTTCACAGCCTTGAAGCCAAGGCTCGGTCATTCACCTTCCCTTCACTTCCCCGGGACAAGTTTGCAATGTAGCCACCTGAAGAGACCCCTGCAGTAGCAACGTAGAATCAATCGGCCTTTCCACTGTGAGGGACTAAGCCAACGCTGGATGAAGATGTAGGAGCTGGATTCTCAGTCTGTGGAAATGTTCACAGTGAGTGGCCTAGCGTGTAAACGTAACACAAATGAAATTATTAAAATACTTAGCTTTAATAAAAAAAAAAAAGCATTTAGGAAAATGAGGTGACTCTAGAGTAGCTTATTCACTTTCTCTAATACATATTACCCCTTGGCAAGAGATGCTGCTTTTGGCTCAGCTCACCCGAAAATATTTTCCTTTGGACCTTTTCTGAGCTAGCTAATGTAACAGGGGCCGACTCCAGGTTGGTTCTGGGGGACGAAACACAGCCAGCAGCGATGGGGTAGGAGGCAGCGTGGCCGGTCAGTGTTCACCCCACTCCCCACTCAGGCCGGTCACACTGACCAGACTGACCGACGAGTCAAGCCGGCTTCTCGTTTCCCACCAGCCGAACGCCCCCACCCCCCCCAAACCTGTTCTGGTAGAAAGGAGTGGAGCCCAGGCCCGCACAGCAGTGCCCAGGCGGGGGCCCACGGCCTGGCCCCCAGCAGTGCCCCATCCCAGCTCCGGCACTGGGCGTCCGGCACACATTAAAGGGGCAGCTGGGGGAACAATGTGAAGCTTCAGAATCCTGACTAAAGAACGAGCCGCCGCCAGTCACCTCTGCTCTGCGCGAGCCCGGCCCGCTCCCCCCGCCCAAGGGAAGTGTTTTCCACACCAGGGTTTGTGGGCTGAGATGGCTCCACCCAGGTGAGTGGCTGAAGGCTGACACCACGCTCAGAACTGCTTCCATCTGCTCTCCTCCCAGCTGTAGCCTTCAGACCAGTGGATAAATAGCATAATATAAGGGAAACGTGAGCAAAGTCGGGCAGGTTGTGTTCATTACCAAGCTCTCTACATGATGCCCCAGTAAGTAGGGCGACCTCGTGGCGCAATGTGTCTGGCCTAGGAGAAAAATGAACACCGGCTGAATCATGTCTTTTTAAAAATTTTCCATCTAAAAAATAATTGAGTGCCCTGGTTGGTTTGGCTCAGTGGTTAGAGCCTCAGGTTTGGTTCCCGACCAGAGAGTCCCGGGTTCGGTTCCTGCTAAGGGTACGGACCTCGGTTGCACTTTGTCCCTGGCCCCGGTTGGGGTCATGTGGGTGGCAGCCAGTCGATGTTTCTCTCTCTCTCCCTCTCACTCTACCTGAAGATGAATGCAAAAATGTCCTCGGGTGAGGATAAAAAAAAAAATAATGATAATTGAGCAAAGCCTGAGATTCCCTGCTTTTGAACGTTACCTCGGCCTCCATTTCGAACTTGCACTTGCTAACGCTGTCAGATGGACAGCACCTCAGCCGGGGTGAGCTGGACGAACCGCGCTTGGGAAAGCAAGTGGAAAGGCATTTCGATCGACAGAACGCTAAGGTTTTTTAAAGTTAAAATGATAGTGTATCTAGAAAATACTGTGAAAATATATATATCTTAAAACAGAACTAGGTTTAACTAGAAGGCTCAGGAAAACAACCATCTAAAAAGCTGACCAATAAAAAGGAGAGCTAATAGTCTGCCCATTTCTGACTCTTCCTCTTTCTGCCCTCAGACTGGACCAGTCTGGGTGTCCTACAGCAGAATAGTCTGAAAGCAGTGAAAAGTGCTGGTATTTTTCAGTGTTTCTTCAAGACGGTTTTCATCTTGGTAACGTGGCTCTTCTCTCCGATCAAGGCGCCTCACGGACTTTAAACGTTTTTGGAGACATAGGTTCAAAGACCTCGTCATCTTCCACCCCTTCTTCGATTGGTTTCATCTTGGCCGAGGCTCGCTGGTGTGGGGACGGCACATCTGTCAGGGACACAGAAAGGAAAACCACTTACTGTACAGCCTGTTCTGATGCCGGCATGATATCTCAATTTTAAACTCCCGCTGGAAAAGAAACCCCCCTGGGAATCTATCGCTGGTACCAGGAATGTAGTTTCCCTTAACACGATATTTTCAATTCAGCATTCAATAAAACAAGCAAGGCAGGGTGTAGAACACCGTCCGCTGCACGTGCACGTGTGATGTGATCTTCCCAAGCACAGCAAGCAGTTCCTCGTGGGTTGCCCTAAAGCCTGTTTAGGACCCAGAATGTTCCTACATTAATATCATACATGGTGACTGGAGTCCCTGGGAAGCTGATTGAGCTCCGAATTTCCTCACTGTATGGTCTTACTCTAAAACTACAGAACCCGACACCACCTGGAGCACCACCTAAAAGAACAATTCTTGCCACCACCTGTCCAACCACGGCCTGGACTGAACCAAAGATGGAGAGGGGCGCAGGAACCCTCGGCACGCAGGAGGGAAGAGCCAGGTGGAGGAAACACGATCCCGAGTAGCCACAAGGTCGAAAGCATCCCAGGGCCTTTAGGATGCCATTCATTTATTTACTTATTATTTATTTATTTTTATCCTCACCCGAGGACATTTTTCCATTTTTTGTTCAGATAGAGTAGGAGGAAGAGAGAGAGAGAGAGTGAAACATCCACGTAAAAGGGACACATTGAGTGGCTGCCACCTACACAACCCACCAGGGCTGGGGACAAACTGTAACTGAGGTACGTGCCCTTGACAGGAACCGAACCCGGGTCTCTCTGGACCACAGGCCGAGGCTCTAACCGCTGAGCCAAACCGGCCAGGGCTAGGATGCCATTTAATCCAAGGAACCAAGCAATCAATGATTCATTCAGTCAGTCCCTCATTCATTCATTCACACATTCACCAAAAGCTTATTGAGCTCCTACCCGATAATAGACACCATGCCTGATATAGAAAAAAATACTGTCTGAAAGTCAGAGAACGTATTATAAAGGTGTATAAACTCCTCAAGGTGCCTTATAAGCACCCCCGTGACATCATAGGCATACACTCCCCTCCATACAGTTCCCACATTTGATGTCAGGATCCACCTGCCCACCCACTCCGGGGCCACACTCTCCCTGCCCACTGGCAGGGTGGCATTCAGCAAATGCTGAGCTCAGGCTGGGCGTAAGGCTGATGATGGGAGAACAATGGGTGAAATCTGACTCTTCGACATATTTGCTGTCCAGCAAGGGCGCGTAGCGGGATCCTATAAAGACAGGAATCAGAATGCCTACGAGAAACTTATCCAGATGAGCTGTTAATCCTTGGAAGGGTCAGCAGCAGCCAGCAGGGCCGGCCAGCCCCGAGAGCAGCTGCAGGCAGCGAGGAGGGTCAGGACCCGCAGCAGGCCCCATGCTCAGGGGCAGGCAGCATGCATGGTGGTCAAGACCAGAGGCTTGGGAAACAATTCCAGGTTCAAGTCCCTGTTCTGCTGCTTCCTAGCTGTGTCATGTGCTGCATTACTATGTCCCTCGGCCTCAGCCGCCGTATCTGCAGAGAGCAGCTATTCCCAGGACCTGTCTTCTGCGGTCGTTGGGAAGATCAAACAAAATAATTGTGTAATGTGCTTAGCAGGTTGCTGGGCACATAGAAAATGTCACTAAATGTCACTTATTATTAATGATATAGTCACTGCCATCCACCTGGGGAAATGCCACTACCAACAGCCACATCTTCCAACATAAAAAGGTCATAATTATGCGGGCCCAGGCTTTTGTGTTTAGCTTATGTGTTTGCTGTACGTACACAGCCACTGTTCACTTTCAAACATTTATAGTCAATTAAAACACTGAGGCTCTGGAAAGACAACTGCTGACCAGCTGTAGGAAATGAGTCTGTATTAAACGGTCTGAGACGGTAGCTCTGTCACGGAGCACAGCGTGGCAGAATCCTCCCGGCAAGGTCTTTGTGTCCTTGTTCAAGCCGGTGATACCAAACACGCCCAACACAACCTCCAGTTCCCCAGTCCTCTCGAGTGGCCATGAGTCTGTGTGTGACCTTGGGCTAGTCACCTCCCTCCTCTGTGCCTTGACTGCCCTGTCCGTAAGACAGCAATAATAATAATATTATCTACTTCATATCGCTATAGGAGGAATCATGTCTTCGTCTGTGTCAAGTTCTTACTTAGATCAGTGCCTGGGATATGATAAACACTTTGCAAATATTTGTAAGTCAATAAAATGAGTGTACTACCATAGTCTTTGGAGGGCAATAGCCTAAATGATTAGAAATCTTGTTGAAGTTCATCATCGCCCACAGGGATGGCAACGACAGGAAATGGGACTAGTGCCCGAATAGGGGCTTGTGTGTCTCCGTCTACACTGCCCTGAGGGCGGCACACTTGACTTTTTTTTAAACATTAGCCACAGCTTCCATCATATTTCTAGCCTCAGTTTATGACTGCGTCTCATGAAATATTAACTGAGACTGAGTATTTGCAATCAGATAAAACCCTCAGAACAAACACGATGGCTTATCTAAGAGCGTTAAACCCAATCGATAACATAGAGCATTCAGACATATCTGCACTACACATAAGGGAAACATGTCTTGTTTATTTTGACTGGGGAAGGGAGACTAACTGATCTCTGGTCCGTAAGCCTCTATCCCACCGGGGAGACAATCCACAGCCTCCGGAGGCAGCCATCCATATTGGGGGTGAAATGTGCTGACCCTCACCCCCTCCCCAGTCACTGCATCTCCCACTGAGAGAAAACAAAGGCCCCAAACGACTGGAAATGACCTAGTGAAAACTTCCCAAGAACCTTCAGTTCCTGGGGAAGAAAGCTGTGGTGGTGACTATGTAATACCCCAAGATAATCAGGCGAGAGTCATCCACAGCCCTGGCTGGCATCTAGGGGTCTCAGGGTCGGGCCTCCTTCCCTTCTGGTCCAAGCTCTGGCGAACTCACTGATCCCCAAATCAGTCCCATCCTTTTCCTCTTCTCGTCTTGCTTTTCTCTCCCCCTAAAATGGTCTCTCCACTCCCATCCCTCCTCACCAAATCCCTATCCATTCCTCAGGGTGGAGTCCAAACCCCGCCTCCTTCCCATGCAGTCTTCCCTAATCCTTCTAGGGCCAGGTTCCATTCTCCTCTGAAAGCCAGAGCCCCTCCACGAGCTGGACCATACCGTGGGCACAAGTACTGCACGTCTCCCTTGCTGGGAAGCCAGCATCTGGAGGGCTGTGACCGCCGCCTCCCCGACGTGCCCCATACATAGCAGGTCCTTGATAATTTCTTATTACATGAAAAATAATCCCTCCTCCGAAACTCTGCATGGGGCCTTCAGAAAGTGGATCCGGGGATGTGGAAGAGACACAGGGCCATCCATCATATCTCTGGTGGGTCAAGCCCCCACCCCACCAGTGGGGCACCCCAGCATTCAAGTGCAGGCTGGTCTGGGTTACAGTAAACCCTTGCTAGGGAAAGGGACTGGTATCACTCTATTCTGTATCATGTTCCGAGGGAAATTACTTCCATTCAAATAACTGGCTGATTCGACAGTGCTTACAGCAAAGAGCACTGTCCGCCAAGTAACCATCAATAAGGTGCACCATCACCCGTGGCCAAGTTCTCATCCACTCAGCCATATTGATCTCGGAGTGACTACAAGGTGCTGGAGGCTGGGTTAAATGCTGGGGAAATAAAACCGAATTGGACATAGTCTCTGACTCTTTTATTTTGTCAGGAGCTCAGTGCACTTTTCAGAGTAATTTATCCTCATTGTATCCATACTATTCTTTGTACTTTATACCGAGAAGCTGAACCTGAACGACGTGTGAAAGCAGAGTGGGGGGCTGCTGTGCCTGGAGGCCTTTCTCACCAGGGAGTGAACCACTTCAAACACGCTGGCAGGGTAATCCAGGTGGCCCCGATGGCTCACAAGACTGCACTTTTCTGCTAAGCTCCTTTCACACGGAGAATCCTAGATTCACGTTCCTTGCAGGCTTTGTGGCGGGGTTAGAACCCACAAGTCCCCACGCCCCAGTTCCCACAACAGCGGCGTTTGCTGCTCTTCCCCCGCTGGGCAGATGCACCTGAACTTTCTCAACGGAAGGAAACTTGGCCTCACAGTAACTGCCAGAAGCTACCCAGCGCCAGCTGGCTGCCGGAGCCCTTGATAGAAATCACATCCTATCAGAGAGTGCCCGCACTTTGTACCAACCTCAGTCAGCCTGGGCCTCCTGCACCACCGAGGGCCGAGCATGACAGTTACCTGCCTCGCCTGCCACTGTCACGGCCAGAGAAAGGCAGGCTTCCAAGAGCAAGGAGCTCACCTGGCCCTGGACCCGGCGTTCGGACCCGGCGTGCTCCAACCTTGGCAGGAGACCTGCTGGTTCAGTGGAAAGACTTCAAGGCCGTTACTGTGCTGCTAAATTCATTATTTTGTCCACTAATAAATCCAAACCCAATTTGGAGTGTGCATAGAGAGAACATTCTGCTTTCAGGGAACGATCTTACTTTTCACAATTTGAATATTAATAACTTCTTTCTACAAGTTTGCCTGTTTCTTTTTCCCATTAATTTTAGGCACTGATGTGTCAGCAGGTGTTTGCCCGGAAGGCCCAGTATCGCACTTAGATGTGAGAGCATAAGAGGGGAGGTGAAGGGATGGAGCTTACCTTCAGTTAAGTACTTTTCAAATTACTTTTGCCACTCAAGGATGTGAGGTCATGAACTCTGCATAATATTTTTACTTTTCATTTATTCCAGATTCAAGAGAAGCATATAATTTCATACCACACATTTTCCAGAAAACTGATTTTTATCTTTCTATTAAAACCACTTTTTCAGTTGGGAGACAAAAGTGGTAAACTCTCTCCTTTGGTATTTACTATAATAATAAAGAATGAGTTTGTACTTTTTGCCATTAGTTATAATCACTTTCCAATTGGCTTAGGCTGCCAATTAGCAGTGTTCATTATAAAAGTATGTAAAGC